CAGACACCATCCCAGACTGATGATGTCATCCCCGTGGAGCGCTCCTGGTGCTTTGTCTCTCAGTGGCACTGCAGACTACAGCCACAGGCTCACACACACGCACACACACCTGTATGTGAGACTGTCACTCAGTTTCGGACGCTGCTCCAGTCTTTGCAGTAAAATGGCGCCCAGTTAGTCTGCGTCTTGAGGAGCGATGCTCTATTAAAGCCAACTGGGGGGGAAATACTGTAAGAGGGACGAGCACAAACCAACACCTGCACCAGTCGGGCTCCACTGCTGCAAACATACTGGAGCAGATTTCGGTTTCGAGACAATAATGCAGGACCAAACGGGGTCTGCATGAGAACACGCCGTGTCGAGAAAGCTCAACACATAGATCACAGCAGATGTTGTAAACACATCCAGAACGTTGTTTTTATGCAAATGAGATCATCATGACTTTGCAGCATGAGAGCAGCTATGAAGAAGGTTGGCGAAAAATGCTTCAGTGCATCAAAGTGGTGAATTACCGAAGGTTCAAAGCAAAGAATACGTTYGCTTTTGTTGCTGAAGTGTTGCTAAAGTAGCAAAAGACCCAACACATAGAGGCATCCGTGTTTTCGTCCTAATTATTCCGGAGGTGAGGAGTGGTTTTATTCTAACACAAACTGTAAAAGGTTCTTCTCTTATATGTTTATRAAAAATAGAATCACTGTCATGAAAAAGGTGGAAGATGTGTTTGACTGTGTTTATTCCCAGACATCATGTCAAGCTGTTCTCAGTTTTCAGTGAGTTTGTTTTTACAGCTTCCACTAAATGTTGCATGAGATCTGCATGCTTACTCCTGCTCAGAACATTTCTGTCTATTTTATCACCCCATTTCTAAATCATAAATTACCTAGTATGAAAAAGTTATTTTGAACATYTTGAAGTACAGTATTATCTAACTTAGATTTTTAGACTTTCTCATTTTGGAGTTTAATTCTGATCAGACTGGTGAGCTGTTTGGACCGGCCAGTCTCCATTTCATAGCAGTTTATGATGCATTTSCCTTTACACCACTGTCCATTTTTCATTTTTTTTCTTTTTCAGTTTTTTTTGTGAGCGCAAATAGCAGTAGCAGCCACTGTAGCACTTCTGCTGCAGCCTGGAGTCACTTCCAGTAGGACATTTATAATGGCTGTGTCTCAAATCAGTGGCTGCGTCCTTCAAAGTCCGCAGGATTCATTGCGCCGTCAGCAAATTAAAAAAAGAAGATGGCTGAGGATTTAAAAATAATTTTTTTAACCAAGTCGGCGAAGTTTGAAAATTCATCACAGMCAGAAGAATTTGTTWTTCATCATTATTCAACCAGGATCCCATTGAGATCTCTGATCTCTTTTTCAAGGAAGGCCTGGGCCTGAAGGCAACCTATTGTACATGTTTTGGGGCCTGGGGGAAACCGTAGTACCTGGAGAAAACCCACACAAGCACGAGGAGAACATGCAAACTCCGCACAGAAAGACCCCAGATCCAAACCGGGGAACGAACCCAGAACCTTCTTGTTGTGGGGCGTCGGTGCTAACCATTGAGCCGTCATGCTGCCAAAATTTTCTAATGAATGTTTAGCAACGTAGCTGATGAAATTTACACTGCATTGAGCTGTTAAATAAAATGCAATTACAAGTACTGATATATGAGCTAAACCCAGTTCACTAATGTTTTTTTTAATTTATTTACATGTAACCAGTGTTGTATAAAGTACCACAAAGTGATACTTGAGTAAAAGTACAAGTATCTTACCAAAAAAATTACTTCAGTAAAAGTTAGTCTCATTTGGGAATCTTACTTGAGTAAAAGTACAAGTATCTTACCAAAAAAATTACTTCAGTAAAAGTTAGTCTCATTTGGGAATCTTACTTGAGTAAAAGTACAAGTATCTTACCAAAAAAATTACTTCAGTAAAAGTTAGTCTCATTTGGGAATCTTACTTGAGTAAAAG